AACTGTATAAGTCAATTGTGGGACAGATTATCCGAGCATATAAAAGCTGATTCGGAGGTTCAACAGTATCGTCGGTGTCTGAAACATTACAATCAACCGTGGCAGCAGACACATATTGACGGTCCTGCACCGTTTGTAAAGAATTGCAGCGAATGCCGTCGAGAGGCTACAGTAGCTATTATAGAGGCCGGTTCTAATCCATGGAGCTCCGTGGCAGGATAAGGGGCAGGAGGGTCCGCGGGGGGTCCGCGGGAAGGGTAAAGCCGCGGAGAGGGGGAAGCTGCTCAGAACGTTCACGGTCTGACCGCGGGAGCGGTGAGGGGGAAGCCGCGGAAAGCCGCCCGCTCAGCTGGCCTGATCGCGAGGTCGTGGATGCGGGATGCGCGGGGAAGAGGGAACCGCGTTGTGGGTGCGGAGTCCGTGGGGAGAGGGGAACCGCGTTGTGGGTGCGGAGTCCGCAGGGAGAGAGGAACCGCGTCGTCGGTGCGGGGTTCGCGGGGAAGAGGGAACCGCGTCGTGGGTGCGCGGGGAAGAGGGATACCGCGTCGGCGATGCGGGTATCGCGCGGAGAGGGAAACCGCGTTCGCGCTCGCCGCGTTCGCCCCCGCTCGCGTTCGCCGCGTTCGCCGCCGCTCGCGTTCGCTGCTGCCGCCGCCGCCGCTGTTGCGCACGGGCCCGCGCTTATCGCTCGCGGACCCATCCGTTATCGCTCGCGTTCGCGAAGAGGAAGAGGAGAATAAAGAAAAGATTATAATTAAAATACTAAAAATTTATTTTAAAAGTTATGATTTATTATATAACTAATTTATTATTGTATATGATTTATTATTTGAAATATTTTAAATAGTCACCCTACTGTCGCCATCTGCAACAGACAAAGAGAGCCAAATATTTAAAAATTGTACAAAGAAGGAAAGAAAGAAGATAGCTATGTAAAAAATACTCACGTTAATTGTCGTAAGCAACTGTTCTTTCTTACAGGCTCGCCTCCTCTCGCAGCGGGCTCTCCCG